ATTACATTTTAGACCAGACTAGTGTGTTATACACTGACTGGCACCTTTGTGTTATTTATTTATTTATTTTGCTGTTTGGGTGTGCCCTTGTTTTCCATCACCAGCGTGGCTGTGTGTGTGTGTGTGTCTTGTCTTATAGGTGGTGAACAGGTGTAACTCTTTGAATGGTCTGGAGCCGGCAGTCTGGACCAGTGAGGGCCAGCACCTACAGATGACACCATCCTGCTGCAGATGGAGGTTTGAAATAGTTGTTGGAGATTTGTGAATCTGCACCATCGTAAGTCACTTTTTGTAATAGTATAAACGAGAGAGTTTTATATTGTGTGCTTTGACTTTAGTTTTATGTTTTGTTTTTCCTCCCCTGTATGGAGAGAAGAGAGGAGAGTTCTTTGAAYAAATGGAGACGAGTTCCCGTGCTTCAAAGTTATTTGACTCTGTGGTTCTCTCAGTGTGCAGGTTTCCAGCCCTCATAGCTCACATGTTACAGTGAGTACTAATTGAAGAATGTAAAAAAAATATCCTTTTTGTTCGAGCATCACTTTTCTGTTTCTCTGTCAGGAGTTAAATAAGGATTTTATCTTTTCTTTTTTTGTAGGTAAATATATGGTTAAGTAGATAGTTTTGTTTGACATTACTTTAAATTAAATAAAACTAGCAACACATTATGTTCTGTTTTATTTACTTTAAAGAAGTGAGGAGTAGGGAGATGAAAAAATATGTTTTTTGAAACTGAGACTGGACGAGTAGCTCTCTGCAAACTGCCGACTTCAAAAGTAGCTCTTGGTTCAAAAAAGGTTGGGCACCCCTGGTCTAATATGTTGGGTGGACAGTAAAATAAAGTTCATTCTCTCAGTTTATGTTATCAATATATTTGAAATAAATTACTACACCAATTAGTTGAAGGGCCCATTTCATTTGGGAAAAAATAAAATAAAAAATCAGGACTTCCTTGGGCCCCTCTCCCTCCTTAGGCCCTGGGTGCTGAGGTCCACTTTCCCCCGCACTTCCATACCCATGACCACAGCCTCTTACAGCAGCATGCTATTCCATCTGGTTTGTGTTTAGTTGGACCATCATTTATTTTTCAACAGGACAATGACCCAAACACACCTCCAGGCTGTGTAAGGGCTATTTGACCAAGAAGGAGAGTGATGGGGTGCTGGCCTCCACAGTCACCGGACCTGAACCCAATCAAGATGGGTTTGAGGTGAGCTGGTCCGCAGAGTGAAGGCAAAAGAGCCAAYAAGTGCYAAACATCTGTGGGAACTCCTTCAAGACTGTTGGAAAACCATTTCAGGTGACTACCTCGGGAAGCCTTTTTGTTAAGTATACAATCTCACATGTGTTAATTCATRTYTTTGATGTCTTCAGTGTGAATCTACAATTTTCATAGTCATGAAAATAAACTCTTTGAAGGAGAAGCTGTGTCCAAACCTTTGGTCTGTACTGTCCATAGCCTATAGTTCAATTGAGTATAAAAACAGCTAAAAGCTTAGAGTAGCTAAATTGTTGTTTAAGATGAATGTAAAAATATTAAAAGCTAAAAGCTTGAATTAGCAAACCCATAGCTAAAAGCTAACATTAGTCAGTGTGTGAAA